CGCTAAACCAGCTACTGTGTGGTCTCTGGGAATGCTCTTATTCGTAATGGTGTGTGACGCTACCAGAACCCCAAGACCATCTGATGATTAATGATGACATGTGGCCTGAATGTCACTTGTCCAACGGTAAAATTGCATTCATTATAAAAAAGATGATCAATTATAATTTCAAATCACCAAAATAGAACAAATGAAACAAAGAAGTAACAGTAACACCAAAACCAGAAAGCTTCATAAAATATGGCTGTTACCAGTTCCAGTTTTTTTTAACCATACAGTATAGCGTAGTCTAATCTCACAGCTTAATAGAAAGACAGCAGGTGTAAAGTTTATGGTCTCTTCACAGATTGCCGCAACCTGATTCGACGCCTCCTGCAGGAAAACCCAAGTGAGCGGATTGGTTTGGAGGAAATCATTTCCCATAATTGGTTTAAGGTAATGACCCTAATAAGCTAGAAATGAATTTGGATTTACAGGTGGAACTCGAAAAATTAGAATATCATGCAAAAGTTAATTTATTTCAGTAATTCAACTTAAAAGGTCAAACTAATATATGATAGAGAGACTCATAACATGCAGAGTGTGATATTTCAAGCCTTTATTTGTTATAATTGTGATGATTATGGCGTACAGCTATGAAAACCTTTTCACAATATTCTAACTGAATTTGGGGTTTCATCCATAATCATCACAATTATAACAAATAAAGGCTTGAATTGTCTCACTTTGCGTGTTATGAGTCTCTATGGCCTCGTTTACACTGCATGGTTCAAGTGACCCAAATCCGATTTTTTTCCTCTCATGTGGCACAGATCGGATATGACCTGTGAACGTGTAAGCAGGAAAAAACGCATGAATTCCGATTTTCTCAGATCAGATTCAGGCCTCATTCATATGTGGTAATAAATCGGATATGAATCGGATACGTGCATTAACGTGTGCCATGTAAGGAGACAAGTCGGATATTCCCCAGTAAATGCGAGACGTACGTCATTAAAAAGTGAGCGATTATAGGCGCGATGGAAGAAAGGATACACACAGTGGAGCAATGCGGAGGTTTCATGTCGTTTGAGTGTTTTGGGCGATGAGTGCAGGCAAAAATGCAGGGTTGTTACAGAAATAAATCTGTATTTGAAGACATTTCACAAGATAAATGAGGCATCGTTTTAAGTGCTCGCTACAGTGCCTCTCCTCTTATTCTCCGGCGTACGAGACCAATGTTTTGATGACTTTTCAAAATATTGTGGAAAGAAAAACACTGGATAATTTTATTCGCATCTGCATCCATTGAAATGTGTGCTGTTTTACTTAATTTCCCGGGTCAGAACGTCTGCATTTGGTAGTTTCAGCAGTGTATAGTGTAAATGCAAAAATCGGATATGGGTCACTTTTAAAAGATGATGTAAGCGGGTTGTCAATAAAATCAGATATAGTCAGAAAATAGGATTTGGGCATCAAGACCTGGAGTGTAAATGCAGCCTATAACAAATTATTTTTACACTCGCTCAGGTGTGCGACTCCCCCTCAACATCCAGAACCAACGCGGCTACTGCACCGAGAAATGAGAGAAGTGCTGAGGGTAAATCAAATGACCATTACAAATCCATCCACACATTATACCATAATTAAACTGAAGTTGTTTCTTTTAATTCCAAGACATGTCTTAAATATCTAAACAAGTTTTGTTAAAAAAGAAACTACAATTGTACAATACAATTGGGTTTACTGCCATATCTCAAATATTAGACTCACTGCTGTCCATGCTTGACATTTCATGTCAACTGTAACCATTAATCTTTTAACAGACGACATTCTGAGCCGGTTTAAAATCGGCGAAATGCTTCGTTTTGGAGAATTCGGCAAGGTTTATGAAGGGAAGCGCTTGGAGGATGGTCTTGAGGTATAGTCATCTTACATTTATCAATTTAGCAAATTCTTTTTCGTCTCACTATCCATTTCAAGTCCTTTTATTGTATGTTATGTTCACTAGGCTATGTGGTGCAGTTTACATGTTTGTAAATGTAATTGTAATGGGCTAAATGTTTTGTTTTGTTGATCAGGTGGCAGTGAAAATTGTCAAAAAGTCAAAGAACATGGAATACATCAAAATTGTAAGTTTGATCATGAAAACAACATTTTTCCAAAACTGGACAAACATTTTTTTATTCTAAAATCTTATAAAAATCCTCTAAACAACAATGATCTTTCTTCCAGCCTGGTCATCCTACACCCGTCCCATTAGAGGTCGGCCTGTTAAAATATGTTAATAGGGACCCCAAAGTTAAAGAGATCATTGAACTGCTGGACTGGCAGGACCAGCCTGACCAATATATCATGGTCTTGGAGCGTCCCCCAGACTGCGAAGATGTGTTCGTTTTTTGGGATAATCGCAAACGCAAACTCTGTGAGGAAACGGCACGGACTATCATGGCACAGGCAACAACGGCTGCTCAGACGTGCTGTGACCGAGGAGTTTTCCACGGCAACATCAAGTTACAAAACCTGCTGATCAACAAAAAAACACGTGAGGTCAAACTGATTGACTTCAGGTGCGGGAGATTCCTGAAAGAGTCCGCCTATGATGACTTCTGTGGTATGTATCGGCTTGTTGTTAATGTTGTTATGTTGTTGTTAACGGCAACATTGCTCAAAAAGTTGCCCCGTGTATCGTCACCTAGAGAAAACATGCTATGGGATTTCAAGCTTAACCAACAGACAAATCTCTTTCTAGGCACAAGAAGGTACTGTCCACCTGAGTTCGACAGATTGCAAACGTACCACGGTAAACCAGCTACTGTGTGGTCTCTGGGAATGCTCTTATTCCAGATGGTGTGTGGACGCTTACCAGAACCCAAAGACCATCTGAGGATTAAGGATAACACCTGGTCTATGATTTACTTGTCCAATGGTAAAATTGCATTCATTATAAAAAAGATGATCAATTATAATTTCAAATCACCAAAATAGAACAAATGAAGAAGTAACAGTAACACCAAAACCAGAAAGCTTCATAAAATATGGCTGTTACCAGTTCCAGTTTTTTTAACCGTACAGTATAGCGTAGTCTAATCTCACAGCTTAATAGAAAGACAGCAGGTGTAAAGTTTAAGGTCTCTTCACAGATTGCCGCGACCTGATTCGACGCCTCCTGCGGGAAAACCCAAGTGAGCGGATTGATTTGGAGGAAATCATTTCCCATAAATGGTTTAAGGTAATGACCCTAATAAGCTAGAAATGAATTTGGATTTACAGGTGGAACTCGAAAAATTAGAATATCATGCAAAAGTTAATTTATTTCAGTAATTCAACTTAAAAGGTCAAACTAATATATGATTATGTATATATGATATGATATGCTATATATATGATATGATAAGAGAGACTCATAACATGCAGAGTGTGATATTTCAAGCCTTTATTTGTTATAATTGTGATGATTATGGCGTACAGCTATGAAAACCTTTTCACAATATTCTAACTGAATTTGGGGTTTCATCCATAATCATCACAATTATAACAAATAAAGACTTGAATTGTCTTACTTTGCATGTTATGAGTCTCTATAATATATTAGTTTCACCTTTTAAGTTGAATTACGTAAATAAATGAACTTTTGCACAATGTTCTAATTTTTCGAGTTTCACCCGTATATTAATATTTAGAAGACACGTTTTTTGTCTATTTGTTTGATATGTTCTTAGTTTATTGTGAAACAGGAAAAGTCAAGGTCAAATCTCTTATATGTGTAATGTATGTTTATCATCAACCTGTTAGAAAGGGAAGCGATAGTCAGGAGAGACAGAAGAGGAGGAGTAGGTCGGAGCAGCAGCTGAGGTCAGGGTCAGAAAGTGGACGATCAGACCACTGCAGCCACTAGCGAGAGAAGTTTTCTGTTTATTAGAGCTCTGTACATCATTTTCAGAAAGATTAATGCAATCCCATATATACCTGGAAAACTGGCATGCCACCTGCCAGTTAAATAATCCAAGAAAGTGAAAACGTGTATTTCTGTCACTGTGAATAATGGCGAAAGGTGAAATGTATATTTTTCTTCTCCAATTATTTTTTCCCCAAAACAGTTGCTGTCAAAACTCAAATTTAATGGAGAAGATCAAAACATGGACATACATGGCTGCTACGGGACTGAATGTGACCCCTGGACCGGATTACGCACAGGTACTCTGTTTCTCTGTCCAGGTCGTATCCAGATTGAGTCGACGCGGCTGAAAAGCATCAACCATTTGAGGAAAATGAGATGCCGATGCCGTCTCTTCATTATCGCAGCTCAGACCAGACCACTGCACCGATAAATGAGAGAAGTGCTGAGGGTAAATCAAATGACCGTTACAAATCCATGTGTTATATTTTAACAAAAGAATCACCATAATGGGTATGCAGTGTGTAATTATTATGTATTTCACACAGAACAGTTAGATATTGAGCTGACACTTTTTATCCAAAGCATCATTTATTTGAAACGTGAAATTCTCTACTGGACAGTGCCTGTGCTCTAGAGGATCATGGTCTTCAGGAACCTCTATCCAGTGGTCTTGAAGTCGTTCCTCCTGTTGATCCGCAGGTTCAAACCTTCAGCTCCAGTCCACCACAGTCCAGCACCAGATCACAGAGCGGACGTAACAACTCAGGGTGAGTTTACTGCCATATCTCAAATATTACTCTCCCTGCTGTCCATGCTTGACATTTCATGTCAAATATAACCATTAATCTTTTAACAGACGGCATTCTGAGCCGGTTTAAAATCGGCAAAATCCTTGGTGCGGGAGGATTCGGCAAGGTTTATGAAGGGAAGCGCTTGGAGGATGGTCTTGAGGTATAGTCATTTCTTACATTTAGCAAATTCTTTTGCCTCACTATATCCATTTCAAGTCCTTTTATTGTATATAATGTTCACTATGTGGTGCAATTTACATGTTGTAATTGTAATGAGCTAAATGTTTTGTTGATCAGGTGGCAGTGAAATATGTCAAAAAGTCAAAGAACATGAAACCAACATTTTTCCAAAACTGGAAAAAAATTTGTATTCTAAAATCTTATAAAAATCCTCCAATCAACAATGATCTTTCTTCCAGCCTGGTCATCCTACACCTGTCCCATTAGAGGTCGGCCTGTTGTTAATAGGGGCCTCAAAGTTAAAGAGATCATTGAACTGCTGGACTGGCAATTATTTTTTCCCTAAACATTTGACTATTTTTTTTCTCAACAGTTGCTGTCAAAACCCAAATTTAATGGAGTGGAGAAGATCAAAACATGGACATACATGGCTGCTACGGGACTGAATGTGACCCCTGGACCGGATTACGCACAGGTACTCTGTTTCTCTGTCCAGGTCATATCCAGATTGAGTCGATGCGGCTGAAAAGCATCAACCATTTGAGTAAAATGAGATGCCGATGAGAAAGAGGACAAGGACGGGAAGTTTTGTGAAGCTGCCGTCTCTTCATTATCACAGCTCAGACCAGACCACTGCACCGATAAATGAGAGAAGTGCTGAGGGTAAATCAAATGACCGTTACAAATCCATCCACACCAACACATTATACCATAATTAAACTGAAGTTTTTCCTTTTAATTCCAAGACATGTCTTAAAAAATTTAAAAAAAAAAACTACAACTGTTACAATAATCATGTTACAATCAATGCTACAATAATCGTTACATCATAAGAAGAATGGCATCTATGCTAATTTTAGTGTCTTTGTTTATCCCGAGGTTTTCCCGCAGCCTGCCGGATCCAGGCCGTATCCAGATCTGGCGATGACCTTAGCCTGGACACGATGACAATGCAGTGCTAAAGTGCCAACTAGCCTCTCCCTATGGAGGATCCCTTTCCCACTCTACAGATTAAGCGATGTGAATTCGTTTCGCGTCCCTACCCTGAAGTGATTCGAAAATCTGTATCAAATTTATAGACAAGAAGTTTGTTCAGGCATGAGGGAATTTAAAAACCTGCGCGCATATATTCAAACGCACATAACTATTGAATCAATTCTTAATGCGCATGTGAACGTCATCAGCAGGGCTGTTACTACCAATTTATCACAGGTTCACGTTTAAAGTCATTCATATAAATTTTCACGTGACAGTTGCTGTAAATTCGGCCTCTAGTTCATAAACGCCAGAGGAGAACTGGCCCCCGACTGAGCCTGGGTTCTCCCAAGGTTTTTTTTCCCTCCATCGGGTCACCTGATGGAGTTTTTCAGTTCCTTGCCACTGTCGCCTTTGGCTTGCTCAGTTGGGGATATTCAAATCAATTATGCTACAGGGCTGTTGAATCCTTGATTCTGATTGGTTGAGAACATTCAATAGGTGTGCAATTATTTTGACGGCTAAAGTAGTTTCAGGCAAGTTTGAACCGCATTACAGTTCCATATCACTGCGCGTAGTTAACGGAAAATAGGATACAATATAACAAGAGAAGACATGCAGCCCCATGCGCTTGATCTGCAATTTTCGATGTCTAACTTCACAATCAATTGACGCATAGTTTAATTTTAATAAATAAAGTATAGTCCTATCTATAATAGGCTAAATAGAAAATTAAACTGAATAGGCTATATAAATAAATTAATAGTCCTGCTGCACGGATTTTCGTAAATATTCCAGATAATATAACAAATAAATAATTATTGATTGGCCTACTTGTAAAAAAGTGCTTTGTGTGTTTCATTTATTGGGTTATCTACTGTCAATTATAGAAAACAATAATTAATGAATTCATTAAAATGAAGTTAATAAATAAATAATAATATTGACGCACATGCTTTTCTGTCTCATTATTTCAACGTCTCTCTCTCTCTCTCTCTCTCTAATAACTGCATTAATTTGTTCCTTCATCTGAATTAGTACAAATGTGTTTAACCTCCATAAGGTGTCTTTCCGGTACTGTTCAAGATTCAGTTTTAAATTAACAGGGCTATAGACCCCTTTTGCGCCGACGTCACAGTTACGTCACAGCGCTGGCTGGAGGCAAAACAAAGTGAAAACTGGAGGCGGCCAATACAAAACAGCACAGATTTGGCTACATAATAAGGAACTTAAATAATTGTTACTATTATTAAATGTCATCTTGTGGTGTTGTTTGGTGCAAGAATTGATGAAAAAATGAATATGCTGTATCTGGAACTTTTATTTCTAGAAAATATTCACATCATTAAAATCGCACTGTAATGTCACTCTTTACATTGTCGTGGTCTCGGCGCTGGCTTGGCAGAACGGCGGATCGTACCCACAAGTCTTGTACTGGACCATATAGGCATCTAAAGATTTATATGCCCTCAGTTTCTATTTACGATCGGTTTCTCTATAACACTGATGATCAACTGGCGGCCCGCCAAGCCGTTCGATCCGGCCCGACTGGATTCCAAAATTGTGAGGATCAAAGAAAATATTTATGCCTATTCTACACTATTAAAGCAAGTAAAAGCAGCAACAACTGAGTCTCTTCTCAGTAATCACCACCATGACACTATTTAGGCTACACCCCAAAATGAGGACAGACTTGTTACACTGTTTTGTATTTATTGTTTCACACAGTTTTTTTTAAAAACATAACTTTTCCTCATGCCCTTACTTAACATTTGTTTTTCATTTCAAAGTCTCAACAACATGCTTGGAACTAGCAAACTCCTCAGGACTAAAAAAGGAGGAAAAAATGATCTGGCACAATTTAAAATAGCATGGTAAATAGCCTGGAACCAGAACAAAACAGGTCACAAATATTGTTCGCACAGCAAATAAAACGTTAAGTGGGCAATAGCGAAATCAAATCACAAGGCTGAAATGGACTACTATAACACTAATTAATCAATGGCTGAAGTTACATTTCCCCTCTAACTTTTTCACATCAGGCTTGGCCGCTGTCAGACTTATACACAAACAGTCCTCCAAAGACTGGGTTGACAGACGGTTCCTCGTGCGTTTTAATCGAGTTCATCTTGGAGAACGCAGCCTCAAAGGTGTAGGTTGAACCGAACATGGTGAGCACATACATAGCCAGCGTCTTCAATGTGCCGTAGACCTCCAAGATCTCCTCCAAGGGACAAAATATCCAAAACGTGCTCAAATAAAAATGTCATCAAATCTAGCAGAGAAGTTGTCTTTTAATTGTGTGATAAATATCTTCATCTTGTCTATTACGTTGCCTTCTCCCACCGTCTTCAGTGTGTTGAAGTGCAGCAGCCTCCCTGACAACAAATCTGTGTGGAACAAATCAAGTTTGTTCCCAAAGGCTTCAAGTTTTTCCACCAAATCCACCACTGATTTTTCTTTTCCTTAAAGCTGTAGATTAAGTGTATTTAAATGGGAGAAAATGTCTGTTAAAAATGCAACGTTGCACATGTATCCCATGTCTTGCAAGATGCGGAGATGGTCCGCTGCCGCTTTGGACTTACTTTGTTTTGAAAAATCCACTACTTGGGCACGGAGTTCAACGAAGCGCTCCAGTGTTTTGCCCTTACTCAGCCAGCGCACGTCATTGTGGAGTAACAGGTCATCATGAGAAGCCTGGGATTCCAGCACGAATTTGCGGAACAGGCGGTGCTGCGTGCTTGAAGTTCCTCTGATGTGGTTAATAATTTTCATTGTTTTTTCCATCACCTCTTTGAGCTCCCCACTTAGCTTTGCGCACAGCACACTTTGATGGATGATACAATGGAGTGCGTTAGTTTTAGGAGCGACAGTCTTTATTCTGCTCACCAGACCCTTATTTATTACAATCATGGCAGGTGCACCATCTGTCACTGTCAGGTTGATTTTATCCAGGGACAATCCATGGCTTTTAAAAAAATCCTCCAGTTTTCCAAAGATGATGTCAGCAGTGGTGTTGTCCTCGAGTGGAAGCAGTGCCAGCAGCTCTTCTTGGAAATCTTTGCAATCATAGTATCTGACAAAAACCCACAACTGTGAGATATCCGTGTTGTCAGTGGACTCATCAATAGCCAGCGAAATATATTTCGCTTCCTTCACCCCGTCAATGACAGCTCGCTGAACTTGCTCCGCCAAAACGTGTACATTAGGAGGCAGATAGAGGTACTTGTTTGACAGATGCAATAACTCTGGTCCATTGATCAGGGATGTGATTTTTCCGGATTAATCCGGAATTCCGGATTTTCCGACCTGAAAATGTGACCAACGTGAACCATGCAGATCTGTAAAAAAAAAAAAGAAAAAAAAAAAAAGAGAGAGGGGGAAGGGTGTCGGCAGCCGGAGTGAAAAGGAGAGAATATTAGGACATAACCATAGACTGTAAAAAAATATGGATGTAGTGTCCGTGACGTCACCCATAGGTTTCTGAAGAGCGTTTTTGAGGCCTAAAGTGGGCGGGGCCGGCCGTCGCCATATTGGCAGTGCGTCACCTCTCGTCACTACCGGATAAATTAAAATGGGCAAAGAGGCGGGACGCGGGTGGAGCTGAGGTGCTAATGCTATGCTACTGCCGCTGAATTGACAGCTGATTGAAAAAGTAAAGCCAATGGTTAAAGTTCATGTTTTGCCCTTCGAAATATTATAATAGTTAAGACGTAACTGAAAGTGAGACTATTTACTTTCCTTTTTTATCAACTTTATTAATCTCACAAGGGGCATGTATACAAGTACATAACACAGATCACACACATTTCTCACAACATACAGTCAACTATCGCATCGTGATGCATTATTATTCTGCTAGTTAAAAATGTATTAATTACTTACAATATTGCTCTAAGCTTGTGCATGTGACAGTGACACGTCAGTCGGCATCTCACGTCAAGTTCGTAAAGAGCTTTAATTCGCTAGTTGCACCACAACGGAAATGGAATTTCCGGTTTGTCTATGGTAGGCTGGAACACTTCCGGTCACTGTTCGTCAATGACACTCGCTTACTTAACCGACCGTTCAGCGTAGTGTAAAAGAAAAACACGAGTCTTTTCGGTATTAAAACGGCAGGTGTTGTACCGAATTCCGACCCGCGGACAAATCGCACGCCCCTTCGCGTGCGCGCGCCTCTCATTAATACACGCTGAAGCGAGTTGAATGCACTTCATTTGCCATATGCGTTTATCGATTGATTTTTTCTCTCACAGCAAGCACCCATAACAATATTATATACCGTGATACACTAACAATATTTAATACCGTGAGGTCACATCATGACCCAAGCGTGCACCATGGCTCTGGCGCGCACAGAGGCGAAATAAAAGTCTGTGTATCAGTGACTCAGATCAAAATATTAATATAAAAATATTAATAAAAAATAAATATAATATAAAAATCAAATACAATCTGTTTTGGTGAAATGCAAAATGATCTGAATCTCACCCACACTATGTTTCATTCATTTTCTATTATTATTTTTATATTGTTGATTGTGAATGGGCTTTTGAATAGCTGGATTAGCTAGAGACAATAATGCAAGCAAACAAATAAAAAAAAATATATATTTTTTTTTTTACAAATGACAAACAATATAACAATTCAGTAGTCCTGCCAGATGTGTGATTGTTCATTTCATTTTGTAAAGAAAAGAAAAAAATCAAATCAAAAACATTTTAAAAACATTTAAATTTAAAACCTAACTGTAAGAAATTTAAGATTCGCATTTTAGCATTAAGGAACGGCATTTTTGCATTATTTTAGATTATTCTCAATTAATACAGTAGTAGTAATAAATGTACCATCATCTTTGGTGTGCCCTAAATATATATATATATATATATGGACTAAACTCTCTACAAGTCTTGGATATTCATTTATGAAGGTGAGTATATCAATGACTGTAAAAGTGTAAAGGAAAAAAAAAGTCCAATATGTGTCAAAATTATTAATTCAGTGAAAACTGAGCATTGTTCCCAGCAATCAGTTCTGACTGACTGTGATTGGCAATGCTCACAAAACCTGGCCAAACCACTGGACTGTTCTTCATCAACACATCCAACTGGATCAGATCAGTAAATGCAGACACGGATGGGGTGTCACAATTGAGACCCTATCATTTCTTTTCTGTCTGGCGAGTGAGGCATCATACAGCGTAGTCTCCAGTGTTTACAATGCCTCGTTCCTGCACAACATTGTCCACAGAATCACAGAGTAGGTGTACGTTTATCCACCTTCCGAAGACCCCATCAGACCTGGAGGCGGTTTGCCATGGGTTTCCAGGACTGCCGAGGAGGGTTTTCTTGAAAGCAACAGGAGCTATTAACGCCATGTCCACATTAAACCATCAAGCGGAGGATGAGCACGAGGAGAATGTCTGAAGAAGTGTCTGCCTCGGAGGAGCTACACACCGACCACGACTATTTAGAACCGGCAAGTACGAGAATTGTAAAGCTACGATGCCTAGAAAACTATTGTCATGGAACGGTTTTACACGTTCAAAATATTTTATGGCTTGATTTTTGGGGATAGATTCATTTAATTTATTCTTCCCTCTTTTTGAGAACGTCTCAGCTACATGGAAGCAAACATGTTGGTAGACAACACAGTGGAAATATGCACTCGTCCCAGATGATGCCACACTGACACCCTGAGCCCATCCGTGTCCAGCAGCTCCGCCAGGTTCTCCCTGCTCAGCACAGACACTTAGTTTTCTTCCGTACTGTTCATTTAAAATGTATTTTGTTTTTCTTATCTTAAACGCAAGCTTGTAAATAGTTGTATTGAACAATTTATTTCGTTTCATTTACGAATTTTAACTTGTATAACAAAATTGTTATTTCTCGACCATTCTCTCAAGAAGAGAAAACAGTCGGTCCATTCTCTCCCTGTGCTCCTGTGATCTC